GGGGGGGGGGCGAGGGGCTCCGATCGTTGAGATGCCTCACCTCTCCCGGGCCTCTTTTCTCGCCCCATTTGCTTGCTCTTCCGACCATCCCATGCCAAGCATGCTCTCACACGCACGCACAGCCTGCTCCCGGAGGATCGCATTGGACACTTCTTCAACAGCGGCATGGAGGCCTTTGAGCCGGTTGCCGGGCGCGAGTATAGCGCCATCTGGATGCAATGGGTCATTGGATACCTGACCGACGAGGACATGGTTCGGTTTTTGCTCACCTGCCGGCGGATTCTCACCCGCGATGGTCCCGGCGGCATGGTCTTCCTCAAGGACAATGTCGGCACCCAGGAGCACATCTATGATGAGAGCGACGCGTCGATCACTCGCACGGATGCCCACATCCGTCGGCTGTTCCAGAAAGCTGGCTACATCCTGGTTGATGTCAAGCCCCAAACGCGCTTCCCCAAGTACATGATCCCCGTGAATATGTGCGTCCCCTCGCCATATGGCGCTTTCGCTCGCATCGCCATTCAGCGCCATCCTAACTATGCTGCCTCTTTCGTGCTGCCTCTTTCGTGTTGCCTCTTTCCTCTCTTCGCTGGGATTGACGGCCCTGCTCATGGCGGCTGGCTCTCTGGCACTTGCACCCAGGTACGCCTACAAGCCGGACCCCCTCTTCACGGAAGAGGAGCCGACCACCAAGGCTCCGGGGAAGGAGTAATCGGGCTGCATCTCGATCGCCCCCTCCTCCTGACAGCCGGCATGGATCCTGTGTGTCCTCTCCCTGAACATGGGAACTCCCCTGTGTTCTTGGACGGCATACTCAAAACCAAATATAGATGCACATACAAACCCATCCCCTCCCGACGACCTGCTCTCGGACAGGGATGGTCCGGTCGCCTCATCTCGCCAACTTGTGGCCATTCACTCAAACACATGTTGTTGCTGCTGTTGCTGTTGTGCCACACATGCAAGGGTGTATGTGTGGCACAAGAAATATGGCTGCCCGCCCCGCCGGGACAAATGAGAGCGCCTGGGTGCCGGAGGAGAGGCCAGGTGCCTGAGAGAGAGAGACGCATCTCTGGGAGAGTGCCGAGAAAAAAAAAGCCCCCGCGATCGCCCGGAGTCTCGGAACCAGATCGCTTCCTTAACTGAAATGGAAGTTAATGGGCGGCTGTATTCTGAAGGGGCAGAATGCGTGTTGTTGTCCCCGCCGGGGCGGGTGGGCTTCGCCGTTGGCTGCGAGCTTCGTCCCCGCTGGGGGCGGGGTGCGCTGGCGAGGCGGGGGGGGG